CCATCACCCTAGGCAAGAAACAGGTGCAGGCCTTGAGTCCAGAGAGAATAGGATTTCTTTGATCATAGATATTGGACAGGAGGCCAGGGGAGGCTGGTAGAACTTGTCACATATCTTGGTATGGGTTCAGGGTGGAATCTGGCTGCACAGTATGGATCAGCCAGTTCTTTTTCTCCATCTTTAAGATTGATGGTCATGGTATGAAAGATATCTGATCTCTAGCCTCACTGATGGGTGTCATAGTTGACTGGAGACAAGCCTAGAGACAAGCCTCCTATCTGAATACCTTTGCTATGTAGGAGTGGTACATATTATAATAACTTAATATCACGCTAAACACTGGAGGCCTTTCTTCCCAGAGTGCGCCATGCAGACCATCTAATTCTACCCATGAGGGGCCAAAGCAAGTGAAAATAGAAAGAGAATATTTGACACGCAGTGGTCACAAGGAAAAGCTGTGAAGACAGGGCAAAGGTGTTGGGCACAGAGAGTATCCAGCACAGTTGTAGACCCGGCACAGCTTTCCCCATGCAAAACCATGAACTAGCGCATTCATTGTCAGACCTCAACTCATTTTTCCCTTTGGTTCTCTCACCTTCAGTTTGCTCTCCCTGGCTGGAAGCCTTCCTTTGGCTCCCTGGCTTCATTCCTACCCTGACCAGGTAGTCTATAAGCACGGTCCCTTGGAGAAAATTCTTGAAATATGTCCATGAATCCCCTTGGGTAGGTGACTAAAGTTTCATGCTTTCATGGTGATGACTTGGGTTATATTCCTGGAAATAATGCATCTAGCAGGATACCTCCCTCCCCAGAAGGTACCAAATAAATATGGAAGTTAAGTAAAAGCAGTATGCTTGCTGTACAAGTGTGGCTTCCAGCTAGGCTGCTGGCCCTCAGTTCCTCTAGGATAGAAAGTCTAGAGCCGCCACTCTCATGCACAGTCGTGTGTACGTGCTGAAGAAATGCGGGTCACACTGCCCTTCACAAAAGTCTCTGAAGCCTAGAAAATAAAAACAGCAGTTTTCTGACAATTCCTTTGAGAAGGAGATAAAATTTAAGGTTTTCCTCTTCCCGAAAACATAATCACAAAATTTTGCAAATAATTTCAGGAGGCTCATGGACTTCTAAAACACATTGATAGTGGACCCTGGGGGTCCATAGGTGTCAGGATAAGCTCCTGTGCTAATCGGGAAGAGCCAGGGGAGGAGTGGCAGCAGGGTTTTTAAATATCCAAGCTCAGATGGGCTATGTGTAAAAATAAGAAAAAAAGAGTTGTTTTTCATTCTCCATCCATTCTTCCATCATCTTCCTTTCCTCTCCCTCCTTAAGAATAAATCCTTTATCCTACTCTGGCTCTTTACCTGGGTATAACCAGCTGCTGTTGGGGCTTAAGTGTGACCATTTCCTGACAAAATACAGCCAGTTCTGCTCTAATGTGACATACACTTTTCTAAAAATCAATGCACTATACAAAATTGCACATTAACAACCACAGAGTTTATGGAAAAAATAGGATTAGGGACACAGCACTCAAAAACTTTGTCAGTGACACATAAAAAAGATAAAAAGAACCTAATAAAAAAGATGGCAGTTTTACAATATTAACTGGTTAAGAAATACATAAATACTACAATAAATAAAGCATTTTACCTAGAAAAAAGACCTGAAGTTTGCTCATGGAGGTGAGTGTTGGGAGGGTTGAAGCTTGTGAGCTAGTGAGAAATGGCAACAGAGGGTTCTCCGGGATGGACATTGTAACACGAGAAGAGGACAGGAGTGGCTCATCGCACACATGGTGGACTGAGGAAGCTGGTGGGTGTTTGAGATGTGTATGCATTCTGTGCATTTCTATATGGCTCAGTTCAGCTGGATGCAGTTTTCTGCATTCCCCTAGCATTTCTTGCAGACAAAACTGCACATAGGCAAACACAAAATTCTTGTTATATTCAAATTGTTCCCTGGTATATTAATCACGTTGGAATAAATTCCCATTTTCAATACAAGCATAATGGCAGGATGAACTGAATCTAGATAATAAAAATGATTAAAATTTAAAGAGGAAAAAGCCATTAAGAACCCAATGAAATGTTAGAAAGGTAGCAGTAAGGATAACATTTCTTAGCAGAGAATATGTAACTCAGGTAAATCTGAGCCTCCTTATGTCCACCCTAAGGTCCATTTCAACGCAGCAATTAATTCAAGTGAAATGCAAATTGGGCTCTATAACTTTGAAACATAATGTCAATCCTGAGGGAACCTTCTCAGCAGTAGGAAGAAGTTGTTACAACACACATCAGACTTCCTGGGAAGTCCTTATCATACATTTTTATCCCTAACATCCCACACCATGTGGCAGCTACCCTAAACTTACTTCCCTTTCTTCTTCACGATCCCTTGTCCCCAAGAGCTGCAACGCCCAAAAGCCCAACAAACAAAATTCCAGCCTTTACTGGTTCTCTCCTTATCATCCTTTCCGCTCTTTCCTGCCTTTCTTCCAAGAGTAGAAATTCCATACCTAGATGTATTACTTTCCTATTGCTGCTGTAACAAATTACGACAAAATCAGTGGCTAAAAAACCCCACGAACTTATTATTTTACAGTTCTGGAGGTCAGAAGTTCAAAATGAGTTCTATGGGGCGAAAATCAAGGTGTTGGCAGGGTTGCATTCCTTCTGGAGGTGCTAGAGAAGACTCTGTACCTTGCCTTTCCCAGTCTAGAGGCTGCCTGTGTTCCTTGGATTCTGACCCCATATCACTCTGACCTTCTGCTTTTGTCATCACATCTTCTCTGACTCTGACACTCCTGCCTCCTCTTATAAGGACGCTTTTGATTACACTGGGCCCACCTGGATAATCCAGGATAATCTCTCATCTCAAGATCCTTAATTTAGTCATATCTGCAAAGTCCCTTTTGTTACCTGTGAAGGTAACATATTCACAGGCTCCAGGGGTTAGGATATGGACATTTTTGGAGGCCATTATTCAGCCTCCCACATCAGCGGCGATATTCAAAATGCCAAACAACTGATATACCACTTCAGGCAAGGGATCTGACCCTCAGAAAGGCCATAGGTCATAGTCCTGGAGCAGGACTCTGGAGATCTTGGCGTGCTGGTGGACTGACGGTAGAGAGGGCTGGGAGGTCTCAGCGAGGGCCTAGGGTGTTTAGGGTGGTGGTGTGGCACTCCAGGGCCAGGAGAAGTGATTTCTTTTTAAGCAGTATAAAAGGGTTTCCACCTTTTTACGACCAGTACAGCCACACCCATGTGTTTTGGCTGAACACCAACCTGCCTGTGCTCTTCCTTCAGTGTATCAGATTAGCCTCTCTAGGCTTCTATAAATGCTTCCCTTTGCCCTCATCCACAATCAGCACACAAACCCCCTGGGACTTTATTGTGTGCTGTACTTAGTTCTTTTACTTGGAACGTCTATTTAAGCCTCACCACAGCCCTATACATGTATAAGTATATTCTATACTTATCTTCCTTTTGCAATAACGCACCCAGGGTCATATGTGCTATTAATTGTTAAGGGCCTGGATTTTAACTCAAGCGCTTTGTTTTAGAAATTGAGCTCTTGGGGCCGGCTCCGTGGCCGAGTGGTTAAGTTCTCACGCTCTGCTGCGGCGGACCGGGGTTTGGATCCTGGGCGCGGACATGGCACTGCTCGTCAGGCCACGTTGAGGCTGCGTCCCACATCCCACAACTAGAAGGACCTGCAACTAAGATATACAACTATGTATCAGCGGGGTTTGGGAAATAAAGCAGAAAAAAAAAAAAAAGATTGGCAACAGTTGTTAGCCCACGTGCCAATCCTTAAAAAAAAAAAAAAAAAGGAAGATTGGAAGAAATTGAGCTCTGTGGTTAGTGTCTCCAATGCCTTTGGACTTGGGGTTGCCACTTGGTACCTCGACATTGCCTGTATTGTCTTTCTACACGCTTTCCTCATCTACCTAAAGAGATGCGAGTCTCCTTGGTTACTCTTTAGGCAGATAACGAAAGCATGTACAAAGACAATGCAGGCAATGTCGAGGTGCCAAGTGGCAACCCCTAGTCCATATGCATTTCCTAGGTTTACACAGAACCCTCCCCTATAGAATTTAGTGGTTATAGGGAGAACTTCTTGATCATAGAGTAAGAATTCTTCTCTATCCTGTATGACCAAACCTGAATACTCTTGAATAGATACTCTAAGATAAAAAGATTACAGTCAACCTTCAAAGCAAATCAAGTCCAAACTCCAATTTATCTTGGCTTCATAACATTCTAGAATAAAGTATGGCTATAAGCATGTAATGAAATAGATGAAGAAACAAATGAATAAATCAAATCTACAGTCAAGAGTTTTATTTGTAAGACCCAACTGACTGTGGTACAAAACTGCTTCTGGCTAAAATATTATATTCCACTTTCTCAAATGGGTAAAGAAGAGCAGAGACGAGAGAAGTAGCAGAGAGCAGGATGATACAGCCACTTCTGGACTTTGAGTCTTTTATTAACCACTATCTGGTCATAGTTAGAAATGTGTTGCACACACCCAGAGGAAATTATGTCTAACAGAAATAAGTAATACTACCCAACGAGAAAAAGAATCATTTATGGGTATTTTTGATTTTGCCGTTTGAAAAACCTTTTGGTTTGGACAGGAATGAGTATTAGCACTTTTCATTCATTTAATTGATGCCTTATGTAGAAGGGATGGACATTAGAGAGTTTTCTTTTTTTAATGAGGGTAGAGTGAGATCTTAATGGGGGGTTGCAATAAATTTCTGTAGAGTCCTTTAGAATCATTTATGATATGTATAAATTAGATTGTAAAGTAAAATGTTAGAAGCCAAGATTAATGTTACCTAAAGATACCTTGGGGAAGAGTTGCAAGCAAATTCTACTTTAAACCCTTTAACCTGATTAAGAACCCCAAATATTCTTGCTAATATGGAAAATACCCCTGATATTTAAAATTTCCTAACAGGTAGCTCTCCTCCTACCTTTATGATGGAATACTGGATGATTTCAGTCAAAAGGCATAGTTATTATCATAAGAAAAAGTCCTGCAAGAAAGCACATGTTGCCACTTTACTCATTATTGAAATGCCCTTATGACTGTCAGAGAGTACAGGTAAGCTGCCAGAGAAGGCAGAGAAAGAGAGATCAAAGTGTTTTTGTTTACTTCTTTGAAGTCTAGTAGTATCTACTGTTTACCATGCCCACTTCTTGATTCATGCTGAAAATTGGAATTCACCCATTTCTCTCTTTTTCCTGTCTAAGATGCAGATGGGGCACATTTCGTTGACTCCATCAATCCCTGCCCCCACGCATTAGCACATGCACACGTATACCTAGCCAGTGGAAAAGAAAAACGAGTTACTCACATTCATCCATTCTACAAAGATTTCCAGGCTGCAATGGGAGGGCTTTACCTCTCCCTGAAGGATGAATAAATAGGTAGCTTTACTGACAACCTGTTCACAGTCAAACTGAAGTGAAAACTGAGACCAAGGTCTTGTTCTACTGGCACTTATGAGATCCAGTCCTGGCAACATGGAGAGGATAGTCATCTGCCTGATGGTCATCTTCTTGGGGACAGTGGCCCATAAATCAAGCTTCCAAGGCCAAGATCGCCTCTTGATTAGAATGCGTCAACTTATAGATATTGTTGATCAGCTGAAAAATTATGTGAATGACTTGGTAAGGCCATACTTGTCACAACAAAATTCAAATAATATTCTTCAATTAATATAAAACGAGCTTTTTGACTTATAAAAAAAAGAACTAATTTTCTTTTGCTCTAGGATCCTGAATTTCTGCCAGCTCCAGAAGATGTAAAGGTAAGACCAGTTGAATTTACTCATGAAATATATTTGATATGTTTTTAAATCCAATTAAGAAAGACATTAACATGATTATTTAGGAATATACTTAATTTCAATGAATTTGGGGGTTTAATAATTGGTAAAATACTTATTTCTATTTTGGTCAAATATTCAACAAGCCACCCAATAAAACACTACATACCTTATAAAATATATTTTGATCTCCAAATATCTCTAAGAGTACTCCCAAGGAGTATTGTTGAGACAGAATAACAAAACTAGAAAATAAATCTATACTACAATCAGTTTCTGAACAATGACCAACTAATTACATTTTAAGAGCCCTTGTGCATGAAAGCTCTTGAGCCCTCTTTGTAAGCCTATCTAAGAAAATGAGATACATAACATAAGAAGACGAATTCACCTTTTAAGAACTAGAAAGAAAGAAAGAAAGAAAGAAAGAAAGAAAGAAAGAAAGAAAGAAAGAAAGAAAGGAAGAAAAGAAAGAAGGAAGGAAAGATAGATTACAGGAACAGCATGAAGGAAAGATAGTGTGAAATCAAGGTCATCCTTTAGAATATATATACCTTGGCCTCAGTGAGTCTTGTCTTTGGCCTTCGGTGAGGTCTTTTGAAAGGATCATTTTCAACAACTCATTCCGTTCTCTTAAGCCATTTAAATCCATTAGATCCAGGAAGAAGAGGCCTAGCATATAGCTCTGGGGTGTTGTGTGCTGATCTTTTCCTTGGTAACTTCAATCTAGTCTTCAGGTTTGGTACCTTGAGGATAACAACGCAATTGGGGAAATGTTTTCATTGTCACAGACTTTTAACTGCATAAATTAGAATTACTATAAAAGTGCTACCAGTAATTAGGGCACTACAAAGGGGGAGACTTAAGAAGATACATCGCAAAGAAAACAATTATCGTAAATGACTATGTGTAAAAATGTAGAAAGTGAATGAGTCACAACTATTGCTTTTCTCTAAAATTCACTCTTAGCTCTGAACCTAACCACTCTCATTTACTAGGTCCTTTTCTAATAAGCAGCATCTAAAATGAAAGTAGCACATTCAGCTTATTGGAAAGACGTTTCTAATAAGTAAGAATATTTCTTAATCAATGTCTTAATTATCAAAACATATTTTCAGCATCTCACATCCTTGTTTAACAGCATCCTTGTTTAATTGCTCTGGTTAGAGTCCTTTCTGGAGTTTCCTAGCTGCAGTCTATAACTTGCAAAATAAGAAATAAGAAAGATACTCCATTCTCCAACTCAAGTTGATTCAGTGGGTACTTCCCTTATATGCTTTGTTAAAGCGACATTTTTTTATCTTACATCATAATGAGAAGACTTTGTCTCAGTGACACTGTATCTACCTGATAATCTCATCAAGCAATGCTGGCTATGATACAAGTGAGTAATGGTATAACTAAGATCCTTATGGCAGGCAAACTCAGGATATAGTGTTATATAAATAGGGTTATATCAAGTTTTTCAGGGCTAGCATCAAAGCAGGGGCTATAAGAGCTTTTAAAAGATTAAAAAGTTTAATGAAAATAAATTCATTTAAATGTTGCATATAAATGTTGATATGTAGTGATTATCCAAGATCTCTAATTGGCCTCTCCAGGCATCTTTCTCTCTCTTTCTAATTATATAAACAGTGGTACTTAACTGGTGGTGGTTTGGCTCCCCGAGAACATTTGGCATTGTCTGGAAACATTTTTGGTTGTCACAATTGTGTGTGTGTGGGTGGTTTCTACTAGCGTCTAGTAGGTAGAGGCCAGGGATGCTACTAAAGATTCTGGAACGCACAGGACAGCCCAGAAAACAAAGAATTATCCAGCCTCAAATGTCAATAATGCCACTGTTGAGAAACCCTGATATAAACCTAATTTGTGTATAGGACAAAGGTAATTTTGTCCAGTTAGCCAGACTTCCTAGTGAGAATGGCCAGAGCTTTCTTTGCATACATACACACACACACACACACACACACACACACACAATGAATAAGTAGGTTAAAGTAAGCTGTAAGAAAGCAAATATTTTCAAATATTCAATTGCAAAACAACAAAGGGAAGTGTGCTTCCTTGCAAAAGCAGCACTCGATTGTTCTCTGGCTGAAGAGAGGAGTGGTTTGTTACTTTTGCTTTTGACTTCCTTTCTGCTCCCTCTATTCTGCAAAACTAGTGTAGGACAGATAAGTCCTCAGATTTTCATGTGTTAAAGGATGAAGAAAACAAAGCCAGGCCCTCAGAGTCTGCTGTCAAAGGCACAGCAAAGGAGAGCAATGGTTAAGCTCCCAGATGGTGGTGCTAGACATGAACTTGGGGTCACCCAGTAAACCCCATGAGTGACAGGGCACCTGTGGCTGCCTGAATCAAGATTAATTTCTCCACTCCCCTTCTCAACACATTCTTAAATCAGTTAGCGGGACAGCTCCTCCACTTCTTTTCCTCTTTGAGGCTGCCTTTGATGTGCATATGAAGTCAAATCCAGCAGTTCTTTGTCCTGGACCACACACTGCCAGGGACAGCCCCGCTGCTTGCAGGAAGCACAAAACAAAATACCGTTGTCTATCAGCACAGGTGAACAAGTAAGGGCAGGAGAAAGAGCACAGCCCCGGCAGTGTGGGCATCAGTGTCCAGATGCCATTCAGAGCCTTTTGGAAGGGCTTTCTCAGGTGTAAACTTGTCTCGACTATTCCTGGCAATATCGTCTCAAGGGAGTTCATTCGGTAGGGCCCCTGTACTTCTTTGGAACCTAATTTTCTTTCAACATGCACGGGTAAATGTTAACTCAGCAAAATGGGCCTCTGTGAGAAATGCTGGTTTCTCAGATCATCACGGATGAAACAGTTAGTGTTTTCAGTTTCAGCTGGAAAATTTACCTCTTTAAATATGAATATTATTTTTTTCCAGTAAGTTAAGCCGGTTGTGGTCAAAAAGAAGAGAAAAGAAAAAACTTCAACAAACATGAACATGTGGTTTTCAAGGAAAAAAAAAGTGCTATAATTAACATTTATAAATAGTTTCTATTAAATAAGCATTTTGGCAAACATATGGAAAGGACACTACCTTGCCCTTATGAGAGGCAAGCTGCTCTGATAGAAGGAAACCAGATAAGCTGGTTCTCGGCTTGTGGCAAAGTATGCAAAGCAAGCCCGATGGGGCTGTGTCTTAAAGATGCAAGTTATTAATCAACATTCATATTGGGTAAGCATATGGGTTGGAAAATGCAAAGCAGGCCAGATGCTATTTTCAGCTGATTGTCCATGAGAAGACTCGTAATAGCGTTAAATATGGGACTGCCCTCGTAGGAATTGAGAGAGACTGAGGCTTCTGGTTATATTGCAGTGGCTTCCATATATATTAATGAAATGAAAATATAGCAATTTTGCGGGGCATGGGGAGGTGTAGCATCGTATACACACAATTGCTGAGAGAAAAAAGTAACTTGGATACAAGCTCTTGGATCGGCATTAAAATGTTTTCATTGGTCAGTATAAATTTTGTTCTTCCAATAAATTCCATTTCACTTTCCATTTGATTTCTAAGATTTTGACTTGTTCACTAGTCACTAGTTATTTGACTAAACCCAGAGACAAGTTTTTGATCCTTGTTCTGTCCACTTCTCTATTCTCTGAGACACTACTTTTACTTTCTAAGGAACAGTCTTCCCTCCCATTGGTTGGGCAAGTCTCAAATTCTGTTCCTTGACTGTTTGGTTCAGGCAGAACCCTACCCTAGCTGACCTGAGACTGTGAACAGGATTTCAGAATACTCATGCGTGCTCTATGGCAGGTGTATTGAATATTAGATGTGGAATATGCCATCAGAGGTAGGTACCACTTCCTTTCCCCGGAGGAGGGGCTTTACTCATTTACTTCATTTGTTGACTCTACAAATATTTATTGAGTATTCACTAGCAACAAGTCAGGTATTGTGCAGGATAAGATGCTGCTCAAGACATGTCACTGTTAGATACTCCTACGTCCACTGTAGAGAGAAACAAAAACAAATGAAGATGCTTGATCAGACTATAGCATAACTCACCCCAAGCTGCCACCAGTCACAGTATTACTTTTAGAGTCTCATAACTCAGAAAATGTGTTCTAACACCAAACTAACTCTCCTGTATGGAACACAAAAGTCCTGCCCAGCACCCAGACTCAAAAAGGCATTAGGAATAAAAAACTGTGGAAAAGCGAGGCTCCCTGCTCTTGTCTGTGAGGCGAGGAAATGTCCTCTCTTCCCTAACACAAGGGGGAATTTTAATTGTAGGAGACTCTTAGCCCAAAGATTAAGTAGGATATGAAATCATTCCTCACTTCTCTACTGAAATGAATGTGATCCAAGATGCTGTAGTAGAAGAAAAAAGGGATTGGGAGGGTCATTTTTACTTTCTGAATAACTTTTGTTAACATATATACAAATTACTTCTCTTTCAGAGACACTGTGAGCAGTCGGCTTTTTCATGTTTTCAGAAGGTTCAACTAAAGTCAGCAAATGCAGGAGACAACGAAAAGAAAATCAATGTATTAATTAAACAGCTGAAGAGGAAACTACCTCCCACAAATGCAGAGAGAAGACAGAAACACAGACCAGTAAGATTGTCATTGTCATCTATCTAGTACATTACACACACACACACGCACACTCTTGTAGCCAGACCCTCCAGTGCCTTCCTTCCAGTCAGACCTTATCATAGATAGTGTGTTTTGAGAAGTTGAAGTCATCTCTTCTATGTCTACAGACTTCAAAGTGCCCAGAAAACCAATTAGAATTTACTAACAGTCCCTGGTAGCTGGAATAAGTTAATATAGCTTCCCAAGGTAAGAAGTCATTAGATAGAGAATCTAGTTACAAGTTAAGAGTTAAAAAGTACTTTCTCTCATTATAGGTGACATGTAACTTATACTCTTATTAACAGAAGAGAGATCTTACTTTTCCTGCAAGAAAAAAGACAGCCTACAAGAGACCAGGATAAATCTCAGACTTTGCCTTCCTGTCTCAAGGAATATTACACTCACAGAGTCAGTACTACATTTAAATAACTAGGCCCCATTATTTGGCTGGGGAATTTTAATAGTCCCTAGTTTGGGAGGGCCCTGAGACCCTCTTGTATAGCTCTCCTATGCTAACTCATAAGCAATGCTGATGCTCTCCTCAGTAATTCAAGCATTAAGAGAAACCAGTGGATAAACACATAAGATAAGTTACTCGAAACTTTTTATCAGTTCTCTCTCCTCCAAGTAATTTCACATATGATTCAAATGAAATCTTAATTATATTGTCAAAATGATTTTTATTTCCTATGATTGGTTGGCCAGGTTGCAATGTGAAATATATCCCTCTAAAACTTTCCTCAGAAACAAAGAAGCTGAGCATCCTGTTGAAACCCAATATCAAAGACTTATGGAATGGGAGTGCTGGCACTGGCCTTAGAACTATCCAGTTAAGCATTTTCAGTTGATAGATGAGAAAGTGAGACCAAAGAGGTTAAGTGACTTGTCCCAAGCCCCACAAATAGTAAGTGCCAGAATGAGATCTAGAACTTATATCTTCCACCTGTTAGTCAAATGCTCTCACCACAACATCAAACTGGCTTTAGAGATGCTAAATACCAAGCAATGGCCTGGTGTTGGTCTCTCAACAGGAATAAGGATAAAGAACATAAACTAACAATTTTTTTTAAAAAAGAAATATAAATGGGCATTACATATATGAAAAATTGTTCAATCTCCCTATAATTTCAAGTTAAAAGAAGGAAATTCTATTTTTTCCAATTAAAATTTTAACAATACCCAATAATGGTAAGAATGCTCCATATAAATAGAGATAAAACTTCTTTACAATGTATATCAAAAGCCTAAAAAATGTTTATCCCTTTAATTTAGTAACTCTACTTTTAGAAATTTATCAAATAAAATAAACAAAGATGCACATGAAAAACTATTCAGAGATATTCTTTGCAGCATTGCATACAATAGTGAAGTCAGAAGCAATCTATGTGTCCAAAAATAGTAATAGTTTGATCCTGTGTTGGAATATAAAGTAAGCATTATGTGTCATATTTTTTTTAAAGATTTTATTTTTTCCTTTTTCTCCCCAAAGCCCCCCGGTACATAGTTGTGTATTCTTCATTGTGGGTTCTTCTAGTTGTGGCATGTGGGACGCTGCCTCCGCGTGGTCTGATGAGCAGTGCCATGTCCGCGCCCAGGATTCGAACTAACGAAACACTGGGCCGCCTGCAGCGGAGCGCGCGAACTCAACCACTCGGCCACGGGGCCAGCCCCATTATGTGTCATATTTTTGAAGAATATTTAGGGGCCGGCCTGGTGGTGCAGCGGTTAAGTTTGCACTGTTCCGCTTCTTAGCAGCCCGGGGTTTGCCGGTTCAGATCCCGGGCGCGGACATGGCACCGCTTGGCAAGCCATGCTGTGGTAGGCGTCCCACGTATAAAGTGGAGGAAGATGGGCATGGATGTTAGCTCAGGGCCAGGCTTCCTCAGCAAAAAGAGGAGGACTGGCAGTAGTTAGCTCAGGGCTAATCTTACTCAAAAAAAAAAAAAAAAAAAAAAAAATATTTAACATGTAGGAAATGTTTGTGATATGTTAAATGTAAAAAAAGCAAATTATCTACCAGTGAAAATAACATAAATGCAAAGAAAAAAATTACCAGGAGGATATACATCAAAACATTGCAGTAATCTCTGAGGATGGGATTATAAGTGATTTTTCCCAATGCTATTTTCTGAATGATTTTATGTATTTCCAAAATTTTTTCGGTGAACATGACTTGTGTCTCCAATTGGAAAAAACAAATTTAAAATGAACATTTTATTAAATAGGAAAAAAGTTTTAAAGAAGAATGTTACTTTTTCATTGATTTCTAGACATGCCCTTCATGTGATTCTTATGAGAAAAAACCACTCAAAGAATTCCTAGAAAGACTGAAATCACTCATCCAAAAGGTATCTAACTTAAATTATATTTGATTTTCTATTTCATCTTCATCTGTCTAGACTGCTTATGTTTAAGTTACTCATGGAATACTGTTTCCACAGATGATTCATCAGCATCTCTCTAGAACACATGGAATATGAAGATTCCTGAGGATCTCACTTGAAGCTGGACACTATATTACATACTCTAACATAGCAGGGAAACTCACTTCTTGGTATTCCAAATGAAGGAGGACAATATATTAGTGATGGGGAACCGAACTCAGATAAGTGTTCCAAGTCAGGACTATTTCCCCCAAATTGCTATGCAACACTTCAGTTTGATTCACATGCTTTGCGTTTGGTCAACTTGAAAAAACTTCCTACTCAATTAGAGTCTAATTTCCTCTGTTATGGATTTCTATGACTTCTAAAGTTTTTATTTTATCTTACTGCCCAATATAACATTTCTTGGTTGGGGGAAAAGCTCAAAAATTTGAATCCAAAATAACAATTTTGGATTTATTGATCTTATATTAGCCTTGATCTTGATTACTACAAGAATGAGGTCTCTGACAATCATAACTTAAAACTTATATACCTTTATTCAAGCTGAGAAATATAGAGGCATAGGATCAAAATGAAAAGTTGAAGTCTTTTTCTTTTAAGGAAATGAAAACTGAGAGTTTAAAATGTATATCTGAAGAGTTTACTTTTTATCTCAGAATGTCTAACATATAAATATATATTTTATTTATGTACCGAGGGATAGCTTTGCCAGATGGCTACAAAACAGTCTTGCTTCTTTATTGGGATTTATGAAAATATTTAAATACTATAGGTATGAATGTATTTATGGAATAGACTCTTTTAGCCTTTTTGTCTTTACATGAGTTTAATGGTACCTTTCCCAACTCAAGTTCCCTTATAAGCTAACACTTTAACCTTGTGGAAATGGCAATTAAAATCTATACAGGGACATACATCAGATGGTCTTCTGGAACCAAATGAGTTTTTAAAAAGTCTCGTAGCTCTCCTCAAATTATTATGATTGTATGAGAGCGAGCTAAAGATCCCAAATGTTTGTTTCCTTCTTTCTTTCTTCCTTTCTTCTTTTTAAAATGACAGACTCTTTGTGTTTGCATGCTTTGCATACGGCAAATTCAATCACCTATATAAAATCAAAATCAGGAGACAAATCAAGAGGGTAGGACTCCTGTCCTAATAGAAAACAGACTTTTGCATAAACATCCCAATCTTTTAATCATGGGTAGTAAAAACAAGCAATCTGCTCTAACTGCCATTTCATATCAACTCCAGCAGTTTATTTAAATATGAAGTTAAAAACTCTAGAAAAATAAATTTTTCACTAGAATGCTATAAGCTATTTGAGAATCTCTTATTGTTAAAAATGGCTGTGAGTGTGCAAGAGGATGTTGTATGGGAAATGCTTTATGCTCTGAGAAGAAAAATTATCTACTTGAAAGTATTCTAAAAACAAATACAGGTTAATTTATAGTCCTAAAAGGTATATTAGGAATTAATAATCTCATCAAATCTCAATGAAATGCTTTATCATTAGAAACAAGGTACTCTGTTTTAAAATTTGGAAATGTTATTATAAAGCAATCATGTAAATATGTGCATAATAATGATAATATGCATCTAAAGCCTGCCTAAGTGTCAAATTGTGCCAGGCCAGGGTGTGGGGATGAAAGTGGAAGGCAAGCACAAAGTCGACTTGGGGAAGCTGGAGTCTTTATTTCTTGTTTCTGGCTTTAGTGTTGTTGACTTCTTTGACACTGTGATTTTATATTTAAAATAATATATTTATTTTGGTGTGTTTACTGTTAAAAATCTCTGTTCTAATCAGTTGGACCAGAGATTCTACCTTAAAAGTAAAAATAATTTAATGGAGTGTTGGCTAAGAGCTTTCACTAAACTGAGTTTAAAGACTTGGGTAAAGATCCTAGGAGCATCCCAAGAAAAGCAATGCATCAGAATAAACAAGATGAAGAAGTGAGACTTGAACAGCTCCATCTTACTGCTCTGTGTTCAAGACTTAGCCAGCCCTCAAAAGGGATAGAAGGCTAACCCATGAACATTACTGTTCACTTACGGATGGTAATACAGCAGACCTGAAATCTGGCTGGCTGTCAAATTGTGGTCACTTGCTTACATTTTTTGGGTTTCCATTTCCTTATCTGTACAATGAGGGTGTTGGACTTAACCTCCAAGGTCTATTTTGCCTTTTTTAAAGCTTTATGTGTCTATGAGTCTCTAAAGTTCTAGATGCTCTTATAGGAATATCTGACCATACTTCCACGTAAAACTTTCTACTGAAGCTGATGTTCGGTTGCTCAACATTATCTCAATAGTATTTGTAGTAACACTCACTGCAGGAACAAGGAAAATGTTCCAAAAAAAAAAAAAAAAGGAAGGAAGGAAGGAAGGAAGGAAAACATTGCTGTAGGTTATGAGAGTTCAGGGAAAATTAATCATGATTTTTACTATTTTAGCTGAAAGTGCCTCCTTTGGACACTTGTATAAAATTGTAGCATTATTTTATATTATTGCTCTGTTGTATTTACATTTGCATCTGAGAATTTAGTTTTAATATGAACTATGTACTTTATAACTTAATGATTATTTATTATATATTTGGTTTTAAATGTTTATGTTTATGGCTTTTTATTTAAGACCTGATCTTATTAAATACTACCCAGTCAGTATAACTGTCTTTTGTGATTCCCTGGAAACCCTTAATTCAATAGTCTTAGCAGAAAATAAAGGATGATCCTTAGTTTCTGGGAGCATATAGTTTTTACATGTACATGCTAATGATGACCCTTCTCCTTACATACTTTCACTGAAAGGGAACTTTCCACTTCTTGTCCCTCAAGGATACCACTTCCTTTGCAACCCTCCCAAATGTATATCAGGTCTGGGAGGAGTTGAGGATTTCCTTCCTAATGCCCATTACATGTACACTTTTGTGCAAAACTCTTTGCTGCTTTGAAATTTACCCCATCTAGCTTTTTTGTTCTCTCACTTCTTATTGATGACTGTCATTTCCTGAACATTCTTCCATGTTCATTGAAGACTTACGCATGTTCTTTTCCTTGAAGCCAACTTCTGCCATCATCCTGGGTGACGGCAGTGCCCATGAGGAGGATTCTACCAACACTGTAGCTTCCCAGAACCTTGACTGCCTCAGTTCCAAACACCTGCATCTTTTACCCCATCATCAGCCCACTCCCATGGCCATGCACCAGACTTCATCACCTGGAACCTTGGTCTGTCTGAAATCTTTACATATATAAAACCATCACCTGCTAGTCTCTTAGTTCCCAAACTGCCCTACTTCTACTACATCTGTCCCAAGACCTCATCACAACGACCAGGCTTTTGCTCCTCCCCATTATTAGTTTCCCTCCCTCCCCCACTGAGCATGGGCCAGACTCAGCAGAATACATAATCTTATTCTTCTTGAGTACCTGCCTACTAACTCTCTGTGTAGGTGTTCTGTCTTGTTCCCCTAATCCAGCTTCAGACACTGGCTCTGGCCCCTTACCTTTCGGGACCCTTTCAAAATCCCCAATTTGGCTTACTGATGTCATTTTCTCACTTCACTCTCAGCTCTAAACACTCAACTGCCTTCAACAGGTGCCTCCATCTACTCCAGTCCTCCACCTACAGGTTAGTCTGGGCATGACCTTGTCTCATGTGTAGAGAGATTTGGGTATTCACAGTCAAACTCATTGAAAGAGTAGTCTATACATGTGTCCACACTCCCTTACCTCCTATTCACTTACCAAACTACTATAATCTGATTTATACCCATCCTACACCCCATCACCGTTATCATTAAAATTGCCCTTTCTCAGGGCAACAATGAACTCTAAATTACCCAACTCAAAAATGTCTAAGTCCTTATCCTACTAGATTTTATCATGGCTTTTGCTACCTTTCATCATGCCTCTCTTTCCCTTCTTTGATTTTGGAGGCTGTTCTTTCCCCTGGTTTCTTGTCTTATCTCTCTAACCATACATTCTCGGTGTCAGTTGTTGGTTTACTTTCCTCTGTCCTACCCTTAGAAATTGATGTTCCTGAGGATTCTGTCCTTGGCCACGTTTTCACTTTAAACCTTTTCCCTGAACAGTTGAATGAGTTCCTGTTGTTTTAAACACCCGCCTATATGTTGTTGACTCCCAAATCTATAGGTACAGGCTAGACTTCTCTGCTAAATCTCAGGTCCATACATCCAACTTCTCCCTGGAGATTTCCATCTTGATCTCCCAGGCCCTTCACTTCAACACGTCAAAACTGATCTCATCACTTTTTCCCACCTCCTCTACTTTCCGGTGTTCCTTAATCTTAATTGATGGAAATGCATCTCCCAGACTCTGCTTTCTCTCTCATACACTATAACCAGTTTGTCACTGGGCTTTGGTATTTCTATCTCTAAAATCCACTCTTTCTTTTCTACTTCCTCTGCCATCACCTTAATTCAGGCTCTCAGCAATGGTTTCAATAACTTTTGATTGGGTTTCTAGCCTCTTGCCTTCTCCTCTTTCCAATCTACCTCCACATGCCCACCAGAGTGATATTTTCTAAAACTTAAGTCTGATCACAACTTTCCCTTATTTAAAACCTTGCACTGGCGCTCCTTTGGAATAAAGCCCAGACCCGAAGCAGGGCATGTAAAACCTTTTATCATCTGCTCCACTCAGCTCCCAGCCTCTCTTCACCTTGAACTTCACATCCCAGCCAATCCAATCTTCTTCTAGTTCCCTAGACACACCATGTTGTTTCATTCCTCTATGCCTTTGTACTTGCAGTGATCGCTCCCTGGAATATTACTCCTCCACCCCCTCTGTAACATCCAGAAAAATCCTCACTCATCCATCAACATTCAACTTAGTCATCACTTCCTCTAGAAGGATTTTCATCACCATCTTACTCTATCTCTGTGACAGTGTTAAGCTCTCCCCTCTTTCAGATGTTGAGCATACTTTGCTTATTAGACTTAAGGCGGTGTATACAAATTTATTGATTTGTATGTGTTTCCCTTTCCAGGACATCAGCCCCTTGGGAGAAGGAACGCATCTTGCTAGCCTAGTGCCTCATATACAGTAAATAGCATATAGTAGAAAACAAACGTTTGCAAAATTGAATTGAACTAAACACAAAATACATGATTATGCATTGAAATTTTTCTTGACATCTCTCTCTTACATGTTGAATCCAATTATCACCAAAGCCAGTGATAACTGCCAAATGTTTTCAAAATATCTCTAGATCCAACTACTTGTCACCATCTCCAGCTTCCACTTTGCTCGAGGCCACCACAACCTCTCACTCAGATGATTGTAATACCTTCCTAAATAGTTTTCTTGCTTTTGTCCTTGCCCCTCACCAAAGTCTATTTGCAACAAAGCAAGCTGAATGATCCTTTAAAAAACTGCTCAGAATATGTCACCCCTCAGCTTAAAACCTTCCAATGGCTCCCATCTCATTCAGGATAAAGCCTGAGAGCTATAACAAGGGCCACATGGTCGCATCCCCTCTAACTCTCACTTCTCTAACCTCATTTCATTCAACTCCAGCCACACTGGCACTCTTTCCTTTTTCTAATACTCCAGGAACACTCCCACCTAAGGCACTTGCACTTTCTGTTCCTTCCATTTGGAAGGCTCTCCTGCCAAATGTCCACATGATCCATTGCTTCACCTTCTTCATGTCCAGGCTCAACTGTTGT